GGGGGGGGGGGGGGGGGGGCACGGGGCTCCTTTAGTGCTTAGTGAATTGAGTCACCAGGGTTCAAATTGACCATCTGGGCGATACTCACCCCAGCAACAATGCTGCTTCCACAGGAGAAGCGACAGGCTGTTCTCCAGCCTGCGAGTCTCACTCCTGCCCACAGGGGGCGCCAGCCAGCTTCAGAAACCCCCTGAGGCCCAGGCTCGGGCCCCAGCCCAGTGGCTGTGATTTAACGGGTCTGGGATGGCACCAGTCATTGTATTTTTAAAATGCTGCCCACTTAATTCTAATGAAACGTTGGGGTTCTGAATTTTAAAAACAAGTGTTTTTTCTTATTTGCTTTCTGTTCAACCTTGGAAATAATGATAGTTCAGAGTAAGATAAAATACTTACCTGTTCCAGTCCCCAAAATTTAATTTGACATAATCTTAAAATAATGTTTTTCTTCTCACCCAATCTTAGGCTCAGCTATAAGCACAATCAGTCCATTATTTCCTCCATCTTTGTGGTCATTTTAGTTTTAAAATAATGCATTGGACTGTCCTAAAGATTTTCTTAACTTTTAAAATTGATAGTCTGTAGATTAGTTGATTATAGTGATGACTGTTTAAAATGAAGGTGAATATTTCTCTGTTTATTTGTCTTCTCGAAAGTCTAACGAGGCCGTCCTGGGTGTCGACGTTCACAGCAGAGCAGGTGTGTGGTTCTGCCTATAGGTTGCATTTCCATTCGCTCTATCATTTATTACCTCATTTCTACAACTTTGTGTTACTCCTTTTTACGTCTTCATGACAAAGGATCATGAGGATTTTTCTTCTGTGTCTTCATCACGTTATTTTAGAATATTAAGGTCTTCTAATTCTAATTTAGAATATTACAGTCTTTGACTTTGTGGTGACATTTGCAGGATCAACCTAGTGTTTTCAGTCTCATAACAGCATAACTATGTATTTGTTGTGGTCTTACCATGGCATTCTCTCTCTCCATTATTTCAAAGTGCAGGGCATGTTCTAAGCCATCTTCATTTGTTGGTGGCATCTGAGAGTGTGGCTGTCCCACCTTGTCCAGGCCTGGCCCTGCTGCTCAGCCCCCTCCCCCGCCATCCCACCCTGTGACCCTGCCTTTTACCCAGCAGGGCTCTTCATCTCAGCCCCAGCTCACACCGTAGCGCTTCTTGGGTGGGTTCATGTGGACTTTGTGATTTTGTCAAATGGGTTCATGTGGACTTTGTGATTTTGTCAAATGAGAGAAGTTACAATCACTTTGAGTCATTTATCTTATTTATTTTTATAGCCCTGGTGATACACAGGGAGGACTGAGACCTCCCGGACCTCTATGAGTTAAGTAAAATCAGCATGTAAAAGATGAGACCCAATCTACAGAATTGACCTTTAAAAAGACAGGATGTCTTTCAGATCAGAAACAGAAAGAGAAGGACAGCATTATCACATTTAGAGAAGAAATACTGCAGCAGCAGAAGAGCTGGTCTGGGTGCTGACAGCACATCCACTAAGAGAACCCCATCCCTGGCACCAGGTACATGAGCGGTCAGGCTCTCCTGCCTGGCGCCAGTGGCCATTCCAAGCATCAGTCTGTATAACCCAGTCTGATAGCGTATCAGTGCACAACCCTAACATAATAGAGCAGGTAGGGGTGGTTTCTATAAAGGAAGAGAATGTAACTGAAGGCACCTTGAGCGTAGTGTCTAGTCCATTTCGCAGTATTGGCTCATGGCGAGTTAATATATTTACAGCCATGTTCATTTATCCATCTTTTAATAATAATAATAATATCCCTGTACTGGCCAGCTGCCAAAAAGATAATAGCAGCCACAGCATTTAATGAGCGCCTTGTGGCTTTGTTTGTTTAGAGTGAAACCACCTCTGAAGAACTGATTAGTTCTGAGGCGCTGGAGTTTCTCTGGACCTGCCAAGCAGGGGTCGAGGGGCAGACCCTGACTGTCGCTGCCACACCTGCTGCAGCCACACCATGGCAGGAGCACAGGCCCAGGACAGTGGACACGGGGCACTTCCAGATGCTGCTGTTTCACAAACACCAAGGTTATGGTTTCTGGAAAACGTCATGGTTTTGAAAGGTATTTCCACTGTAATCATCTGAGACCTCCAGATTAAACAGAAAATCCTGATCCAGTGTTTGTTAGATTTTGTTCCTCTTGTGCTTTCTTTAGGATTAAGTATTCACCTCCCTGAAATTGTTTCATCTCTTGGGACCAAGAGACGCCGACTCATCTTGTTGTGGTTGTTATTACTAATATCCTAATAGGTATAAATTACATAGATAGGGATATGTACACGTACATGTGTACTTCACACAGTAAAACTCCCTGTGTCTCCATCTCCTCCCCCGACCCTGGGCATTCTCAGTTTTATTTCTCATAGTGAGCTAAGGTCACTGTCATCTCTCGGCCTCAGCTCTTCCTACTGCTTGCGCTCTGAGAGGAATCACTGTGACTGCTTAAAATCTGTTCCTTTTGGGGCCGGCCCGGTGGCGCACTGCTACAGTGCGCTGCTTAGGAGCGTGGCGGCGCTCCCGCCGAGGGTTCGGATCCCACATACAGACCGGTTCCCG